ATTGACTGCATCATAGTCAAAGGGGCTGACAAATAGATTTTTTAGGCACTTGTCTGAGGGCAAGTGCATGGTCAAAATTTACTTGCCCTACCTGAATTTTTGCTTGCCCCACCATCATGACCATAATCTAATACTGTATATATTTATATATATTTCAAAAAATAGGAAGACAAATAATGAGTAGATCATGCAAGCCCCTGTGTCTATAGCTCTATTTCTATGACTTACCGGTACATATGGATTTAATTTTTTAAAGTCACTTGCCCACGGGCAAGTGGTTGATAAAATTTCACTTGCCCACCCTTAAAATTCACTAGTCACGGGCATTGGGCAATGGGATTTGTCATCCCCTTAGTTACTGTTAATGTAGGTGCTAAACGTTGTTAAAATCAGCATTTTTTGTGTAATTTTTGTTCAACTTGTTAAGCTTAAACATTTAATGTAAAATAATTAAGAGTTTTAAATGATCGTGTAAATATTTAAAAATTGTGAAATTGATCGATCCACCCATCTATTTCTTTATGCTACAGTCTAACGAGTCAGTGATGTCATATATGATCTCTCAGTGCAATGAGATCATGCAGGTATATGTTGGTTACCTGGTAAGACTTAGTCAGTTTAAAAACATAGAAACCATATACCTAAAGCATTAGGTCTATGATAACAGATCACAATCAAGGCATCGTGATGTATTTTTCAAAGCAGGAACTACAAAAATAATTTTAACATGTTTAGTACCAAAGATTCTCTGAATTAATATTTCATTTCGGTTGTATAAGTTTTCCTGTGACGTCACAGTTGTTTTTCCTGTACTCGGAAAATGTAAAGATGAAGCGTTTTTACCACGCTTATGTATTGTTCAATTATGTCCTCTGTGATATGAGGTAATTATCTTCACCTTACGATATTGCTACAGTTGATTAAGGTACTATGAAGAAGGACTTCAGTTCAATCGTAAATCTTCAAATATTTATTGACAGAATTATTTCCCAAATGAATTTTACATCGTTGAAGATGTCTTGAAAAGTATTCATCCAATCCATATACATTGTAAAATAGCAAAAATGCTTAAAGAATTTTAATTCTATATATATTCTGAATACTTGAAGAGATGCATGTCCTTATACATATTTCTTGTTTGTGCTTAAAAATTTCCATTTTAGACTTAGTTATGGACCTGTAAAGACGAAAGAACCAAAACTATTTACAGACACTGTGAGGAGCGATTTTTGTATGGCGATATCACTTAAATAAGTCAAGAAATCTGAACGCAGAATTACTTTTAAAATGTGTAGGACATATTAAGTTAAAAATATACAAAATATGAAAAAAATTCATTGACTAGATTTTTTTCAGCTCAAGGCCCTGTTCCTCCTTAAATTCTCCGTGTGAATGTGGTCCAAATTTAATCTGCAGTAACTTACATTTAATTGGAATAAAACCCTCCTTGTGTAGAGGATATTAAATGTACATATCTCATACTGTACATCCTCATCAAAGTTTCACAACCAGTTCATACATATTCTTGTCAGCTGTCAAAATCACATTCGCATGATTAAAATGAGAGTAAATGTTAAGTTGAATACCGATCCCGATTAGAATCAAGACCAAGGACTGTTAAGGACCCTCTATCATGATCTATACACTAAATCAAAAATGTTTTTATTCCAAGATAAATAAATTGAACACTTTATTTACATGCTTTCTCACTCAAGTAAATGTGTAGAGATTTCTGTTCATCAATACTTTAATGTCTTTGAATATTTTTCTTAGGGTGTAAATGTGCCATGTACCCTAGCTATGTTGAACATGTTGAAATTCAAGAAAATAAAATAGATCTGATTAGCTCATTATTTATACCTTTATGCAATATGATTTTCTCATTCAATTGTTAAGAATGCTTGCATTAATTGAAATTCAGTAACAGACTGTTAGGATTTCCCAGGGCAAATAAGTCTCTATCTCCATAAAATACCATAAAATCAGAGCTCTTTTGGTGTGCAGTATATACTACAGTGTTATTAATTTGTATGTGAAAACTGAAATTAAAATAATCATGGAGGGTAAAAAATTGGGGGGGGGGGGGTTACAATCTTTCAGATTTCTTCTAATTCCATCACAAAATATATAAAGAAAACTTAATTTATGCACTCTAAGTAATACACACTGTCAGATGATGACATTTCTTGCTCATTTGAAATAACATATTATATTCTTGGCACACAGACTTCTTCACTATCAACAACATGTTTACCTTTTAAATTAAATTTTAATAATCTGGTTAAGTGGTAACAGATCTAGATTCTCTTTATTAACAAACTTCTCTTAACATAATTGTTCACTCAGGTTTACAGAGTCTGCCAATCGATATCAAACATTAATTAATAGAGTCCCTCTGAAAGATTATGAGGCCCTTTATATTTTTTGTTGTATATTTAAATGTCTTGTCTTATTATTTTTGATACACTTACAAATAACTTGTTCCTAAATACTAAATAATGAGTAAACTTGAGTTTGGTCTGAAATTACTGTGCCTTTCCAGTCACTGCACTTAAAAATACTAAATGCATCTGCTGTACGTTTTACTCACATTAAAGTGTTGGTTATATACTGTAGATCGAAGCACAAATTTTCATGGGGATAAAATTTTGTTGATTTGAATCCGAGAAGGTTTTGTGGGCATTAAATTTCTTTGTTACGAATGTAACCCGACTCATTATACATGTATTGTAAAGTAAAATTTCATGTGGGGATTTAATTCTGATGATAATGTTAACAACAAACAACTGTCGAAATAAAGGAATATAATTCAATCTGCTTTTAAAGTATATATTGTATACCGATATATATACATGTATATAAAATGTAGCTACTCTGGCCTTTCTATTGATAATGTAGATAAGTGAGCAAAGTCATCTAGTGTGATTACATTTTTTATTACTTTGAGGGGAAGAATCATAAAACCTGTCGAAGTTTTTGATTTTTTTAATTTTAATTGCCCCTAATTAATCCTATAGGAATATGGCCTCAGACCAGTGATCGAGTTTTCATAAAGAATGAATAGATCCAGTTTTGCATACTGCCAATGTTAGCTTCAGTAATTTATGCACAATTAATACCATATTCCAAAAAACAAAAATTGACTTTTCCCTGCATTTTCCAGTGCCTCATGTTAGAATGGGAGGGAGTTAGAAAATTTGCAAGATTTCAAACAGCTACACATGCTACATAAATCTCTGTTATTTATGTCTCTATGACACCCTTGATGACAGAAACATTTTGAAGGATTTATAAATATTGTAAATGTTCAATCATAATTCCATATAACATAATTGTATTCTCTGCAGTTGGAAAATCTTTTCATTTAAATCTTTTTAAAAATTCCTGAATGGCAGTAATTCTCTTCATTTTAAATTTCAGTGGTTGAATTATACCCCAATAAAAACATGATTGTATAGTGTGTACCCCTCCTTCTTTGTCTTTTTTTTTTTGTTTTGCTGAAAATAAAAGTGTGCACATCATAAAAGAGAATTTATAGTAGTTCGTATTATTTTGTTTAATATATTACATGGTATGCCCGGACCACAACAATAGCCAATGGTGTTATAGTGTTAATTATCTGTCCTGTACATGTTTATAAAAATGGAAAATAGCTAAATGATGAAAATTATCGGTATGACAGTCAGTTGCAAACATCTTCTTTTTTTTTTTTAATCCTATTTAGATAATTTTATTTTACTTTTTATCTGGACTATTATTGGTGAAGTTCTTTGTCTTTTAAACTGAACCTTTAATTTTTTTTTATGATACTGGCACAATTAACTGATAACATACAGACTTAATTTTGAATTCATTGATCCTCCCAAATATTTGCCGGTCTTGGACCGACAGACTGTCATTAAGGTATTACATGTAAAACAGTACTGATTCATCATGTTCATGACAGGAAAAGGTACACAGATCATGCTGATACACAAACACATCATCATGAACACAGATCATTAGAACTTCAGGTAGTGTTTGTTTTTTTCCTGACATGTAGCTTTTCACTATTAAATGAATATTATATAATTGCATTCATACCATAAACTTCTCCCTGCCGTGTTCTGAGTAGCCATGAACATTAATAATTTCTCATCTGAAATCAATCTTTCTACCTGAAATGTATTATAATATATACATGTAAGTTTTAAAACATGCATGAATTCCATGATAAATAGGAAAAAAAAATTAATTACTGTAACTTAAATTAGTAGAAGTCGCATCATATTCATGAATCATCACAGCTATATTTACATATTCCTGTACGAAATTGTACGCCTGGTAATAACACGTAAACCAGGCGTCATGCTCTGCAAAAACCAGGCGGATTTTGACTCATTACCATATAAGTAAACCAGGCGTCACATGAGACGGAAACCAGGCGTAAAAAGAGGCGTAATATGCAAATTTTACGCCTCTTCAATAGACCAGGCGTAAAGGATCGTAGTGTCCAGGCGTAAAAATGTCCAGGCGTAAAAAAGTCCAGGCGTACAATACACAATGATATATACAAAATACATTACATGTTTTGAAAACTAAGTATTTATTTTATCAAAACATCCATATCTTAGTATCAGTTTAAATGACATTCAAAGGAAGTTTTTCTTAACATTTTGATGGACAACAAAATGTCATTCAAATAAACTTTACATTAATAAATCTTCCCATTTAAGGAAAATTCAAAATTTGTATTATACAAAAATATATAAATTATCTTGAAAATACAGTGTACCAATCTCTGATGACTTTGTATTACAGCAGAGATGCTTATAATGAATTCATGGTTATAGTGATTTTCATTTCCTTAAGTTTTAGAATATTGCTGTGAACTTAATGGATATAATGAACTACGTCTAATCAAAATTGTTCATTCATTGTACTTCGCAATAAGTGTGTTTTACATTAGCTTATCTTGTATCGTGCACTGAGCTCTTCTTAGGATTCTCATATTTTTCTTTCCTCTGTTCCTTTTTACATTTTTGTCCTGCAATGAGACTTGCTCTGTGATGGCATTGTTCAGTTCTTGGTTCACTTTTTTTTTTTCATTTTCTCCACACCACTAAAGGGCATAACCTGAAGGAAAATTGTAGCCATGCTTTAATGTAGGTCTGAAATCACATTATGTCCAACAAGATCAGTATTTACAATCAGAGAAAAAAAATTGTTGTATTACATAATGGGTTGACAGGAAAACAAACAGACAGACCAAACACTATATATCCCCAATCTTTCAATTGGGGGCATGAAAATCTTACCCCTTCAGATATTCCAGGGGGTGAAATATCCTGGTCATTCTCCCTTGGTTTTTCTGAAGAAGGAGGATCTGGACACAGGAAGCCTGCTTCTTGATTATCTGGATGATAGGAACAGAAATATATTACAGCCGTGCATATAGTTAAATATATCAAATATTGAATGTGTATTTTACTATTACACAAATACTTTATTTAGGTTTTTATTTTTTTATTATTATCTAACCTCAACACAATCCTCCATGGGATGAAATGCTAATATCTACTACTACTACCAATGAAAGGATGTTGGTAGTAGAGTGTTTTCTCAAGGGAGGAGTTTTGTGACTTGGTATCTTCTTTTCCTTGGGACTTAGCTCCTGTTTCTTCTCTCTTGTATCCTCAGTGTTTTTCTTCTTCTTATTTGGGATAAACTCTTCATCATGTTCCTTAATTTCTTTTATTTTGTCTGTTGGAGCCCTTGTTCTCTTCCCATTTGCTTTCTCTGTGTTTAGATTGAGAAATTAAACAGTCTCTCTTGAATATCTTTTGCTTTCTCCTGCAAGTTTCCTAATAATTTGCTGCATGTCGAATCGCAAGCTTTGTTAGTTCCTCTTCATCATCTACAAATACACACACATATAACAAAATTATCACCAAGAAATGTGAGCTTTGTGTAGCATATCTGAGCTTGACACCCCCCCCCCCCCCCATTTAAGAAACACAAAGCAGACCCCTTGAAAGTCAGTAGGAAGGAATGAATACAGGAAAGTTAATGAGGGAATATATATATATATATATATATATATATATATATATATATATATATATATATATATATATATATATATATATATATTAATTGGGTATGAAAAGTTTCCGATCCACCTATGCATTGTAGCAACCCATTAAACATCACCTTAACCATGTTAACATGATCAGCTTATCAGAAAATGCACTCTATTTGTTATCAGGACAGCTTTTGATTAAAATTACAGTAATTATTTTGTCTAGTAAAAATTTTAAGACAGCTACCGCGCCATGTGGCAAATTTATAATTCATACCATCATACCATGTTGTGATCCATGCGACTTTATATTTCCCTCATCTTGAACCCGACTTTTTTTTCCAAAAAAAAAAGGGGGGGGATGCCTCGTATATTTTTTGTTTTGTATATATTTTTTTCGAAATGTTAAATAATAAAATTGATAATTATGCAATAGAAAGATAATTTAAAAAAAAAATCATGGAGTATACAACAGCAGTAGTTTACAAATACGACAGGTCTCCATGCGTAAACAAACACGCATGCTACACATGTAATCAGGGACCTATATATATGGTATATAGGTCCCTAATGTAATCTAATCATTAACCATGTTAACAGAATGATTTTAAAAGCACATTTCTTAAATTTTTATAAATAATACTATATGGTATATTTCAAAGTGTTAACCTCGCTGGAGTATGAAAATCTAAAAAATTCTTACCATGAACATTGATGATGGGGCCATAATGGTATCTCACTTCGAATTCCGTCCTTATTGTCAACGTTTTGTCTTTTTCTCCCACAACAGTCAAACTGCAAACCTCATCGAAGTATTTTCACTTTCAAGTAAAACCAAGTTGTCAGAAACAAGTAGAAATCGGCAGGGCAATGTTTCTTTCTAAGCAACAGAATTTGAAATGACCATGCAGGCGGGATTTTGATAGCGTGGGATATCAAGTTTCTGCAGCCCCGGTTCGAAGATGCTCTACTGTTGAGGTTCACGACGGGATCGATACAAAAGCTATTACAAACTTTTCCCCCAAAAACGTCTCTCAAAATTATAAAACGCGTTCTTTTAGTATTAATTTGTCGATTTTTTTTTTTAAGATGCAAAATCAATGTGTAGATCAATAAATTTCACTGAGATCATTTTGTAAGGCGATTCCCCTTGGCCTCTGAGAAAACACCTTAGTTTACAGTTGTTCTCGGCACATTGGAAAATCATGGAATAACCAAACAAAATAAAAGAAGGTTACTTACGGAAAGCGTTTGTAAAGTTTAGCAAATTTCAGCTCAAGTTAATTTATGGAACGATGGAGATTTAAAATATGAGATGTATTACAAGTTACGGAATGTGTAAAAATTTGCCGAGACATAAATAACAAGAACAGGAATCTTTGATAGCGAGATAACCGTAGAAGATTCTAGTAAACTGTTATCGGTAAGTATTTTACAGTTTTTTTTAAAACATTAAAAAAAAAAAAAATCGACTTACATATATCGGGATCGACAATCAATTTAATAGAATGTTACTTCCGTTTTACAGATTGCAGCCCGAATTATCTCGGAACTAAATCGACTCTGAAGTTAGAAGACGAAGGCGCAGAAATAATCATCATGAGCGAGGTAGGTCACCTTAAATAATATTGTTTTTTTTTGTTTGTATCGCATTACCATTAGCTTACAAATTATTTACTTCTTGCAAGTTGCAGGGACGTATATAGATCCCTGCTACTTGATGATCATACAGTATACAGGTATATGTAAAGCAAGAGAAAAAAATACGAATGAGTTCTCATCGATTTTTTTTTTCAATATGTTTCAAGAAAATTAATTATTTTTTTTGTACATATTGATTAGCTTGTAACAATACAACCTCCACACCAATTACATGTACTGGTTTTTAAATTAATGTTCACTTGCATGCATTTGATTAACTGGATAATAGTGGTGTTTTATTCTTGAATTAGATGTCTGACCATGAAGAGTCTGAGCTGGACGATTTGATGAGTAACATGACAACATTTAAGAAACAAAGAACCCCAACTGCCAAAAAGATACATAAAATTTAGTGATGAGGATTTTTCTGATAATCTCTCAAAATTGCCCCAATGCAATAATGAGTGCATGTCAATAAAAATGACAAGTATCGATCAATCTTTAAATTCTCACACATTAAAATTAGGGCATGTGACATGTCACTGTCTAAATGCACAGCATGTCTTTGACATTAATATCAACTTATAAAGCTGCACTATACCCTCAGTTTGCAAGGGCTAGAAGACCACGTTGAAGCAGGGACCTCTACGTGCTTAACAATTATATCATTATGTCCCTGGGAGAAGTAGACAGCCCCCCCCCCCCCCTTTCATCATTTAAACTTGCAGGAATTATTTCTAATGTTTACGCCTCAGTCGTACATGTGTTTTTAGTTGACAGCTTAATATGTACACAATATTAACAATGATTTTAACAGCCCACGTACCTATATATAAGCCAGGCTGACTGAACGTTTCCCCGGCCCATAACACATGGCGTGACCGACTCTACTTTCGTTTTTAATATGAAACCTTCGAACTTTGCATGACACATAAACAAGATGCGAAACACAAGAAAACATTTAAAATTTCTGACAGTATATTGTGCTACACAATGCAAAAGATCAACGTTGATTTGAAATATGCTATTAGATACAGATACAGAAATAATTTCTCTCCGCGGGTACAACGTACATACATGTAGGTCAATACGGAATGTACGTGTTTACCTTCCCACAGACATCCAGATATAGAAAAGATTTCTTTATGTTTTTACTAACATTAATAATAATAACTTTTAGTAAATTGGTTTTTACCATTTATACTGCAATTATGCAACGATGCACATTGTAACTATACAGCATATACATGCATGTATACATACCGTAGGAAAAATTCTAGAGTAGACAATTAATGTCATAATGGACACATCTTTACTATTAATTCATAGGCCATATTTAATACATTAAATTTATTTAATTTATTTACAGATTTTGTACTTACCTTTTACAAAGTTGACTTCGTCCCCATGTACATGACTAAGTGTGAAACGGGTACTTTATTATGATGTCATTTACGACGTCATTTGTGTAACGAGCATGCGCACTTGCAATGTGTGTAAGTCTCGCCGAGAAGAAAAAATGATGGATCGGTGGTCATCGTATACACACTCATTACACAGATCTCATGAATCCGGTCAAATTAACACTTCAATTTTTCGAAATCGGATGCATCCTAGGACAGTTTCTAGTTGATTTATGACAAAATCCAACTGAACACCACCATTTCGTGTTCATTTGGATTTTTCCGTGTTCATTTAAACGTGTGCAGTCTAAAGCACGTGTCCAATTGACAGGGTTTACAAACACACAGGGTGTGTGTGTGTGTGTGTGTGGTTTCCCTCCGACTCTGAAAGTTTGCCGAAAATTTGAGATGGTCATGATTCCAAAATCAATGCGAGAAAACTTCAAATCAAGTGTCAGATCTACAATGGAAATGTTTTTTTTCGTATGAGTTACGATTACAGAGTTCACACAATGATCTAAACATCTGCTAAAGCTTGCATTCACATCTTTTAAATCATCTCAGTTGTCTTGATGATTAAATACACTACACGTACTAACTATTATAATGACACAACAGTCACCCCTAAAGATAAAACTTCATAACAAAAAAAAAAAAAATGTGTGTAACATTTTATTTATTTATTTATTTTTTTATTCTGTTTTTGTAAATCTTACGCCATTCTCAGTCTTTAATTAATCTCATCCTTACAAATTTAAATAGAAAATACTTTAAACTTAAATATTGTGTGTTTAATTCATGTTTGTTATTGTTAATGTATAGGTGACACATTAGCTGAGTAATCACCCTGCCTGCAAGAATTTCTGCTAGGATTGAAAGTTTGTGGTGCACATCCTAAAACATGCAGAGTCGCCCGCGTGGCGCAGTGGTCAGAGCGTTTGCTCTAGGGTCGCGGCATAAAGAGTTGTTCCTTACGTCGCGAGTTCGAATCCCACTGTGGGACGTGGAACCGGTCCTTCGGATGAGACCGTATAAACTGAGGTCCCGTGTCACAGTAGGTGCTGGCACGAAAAAGATCCCTCACTGCTCAATGGCCGTAAGTGCCGAGTATAGGACAAAATTTGCAGCTCTCCACCGGCAAGTAGTGGCGTCTCCATATGAGTGAAAGATTCTCGAGAGGGACGTTAAACAACATACAAACAAACAACATGCAGACCCGTAGGAAGCAACATCAGTTTGAGGGGGGAGGGCACAGCCATACATTTCCAGTCTGAGAGGGTACTATCAACTACCAAAATTTCTTGATCAATTCCTGAACTCCTGATTTTGTCCCCCCCCCCCCCTTCTGTGGAGTTAAAACCAACCCCCACCCCCCAACACACACACATACACACACACAAAGCATAGAAGAAAACTTAATAATGGCCTTACTTTAATCTGACCCATTGACAAGATATTAATTAAATTTTTATATTCTTTTCGCCTCCAAAGAGACTATGTTTCCACTACTAGTATTCTGTCATGATTGTTTATGATGTCCTTGTAAATTATAAATCAGGAAATGACCCAAGAAATATAAATGCAGCAAAATGATATATTCTATTTTTGTCTCATCTCCATCCATTATTTAACATCCTTGAGGCACATTTAAGTAATTAAAACATGGATGCTGGTGGGGCATTTGTATCACACCCACACTTTTAATTAAGTATCAAGCTAACTGAGTGTAAGGTTATGTTACT